TTCCTAAGGCATTATTTGACTGGACAAATTTACGGTTCTAGGATTTCAAATCTGTAATAGATTACAATTCAACCATACATGAGATAGTATCTATATTGAGATATTGTGATCATCCAGTGACCGATGAACAAATGATTGAAAAAACACTCACTACCTTTCATGCAAGCAACATACTGTTGCAAGAACAATATCGTGAAAGAGGTTTTAAGAAGTTTAATGAATTAATGAGTGTATTTCTTGTTGCGGAACAAAATAGCGATCTTTTGTTGAAAAATCATAATCTCAGACCAACTGGGTCTTTGGCCACTCATCATGAGGCAAATGCAACAAATTCCTATCCACCCGAGTCAAATGCTACAAGAAGAGGTGGACGTGGAAATTACAATGGTCGTGGAAGAGGCCGTGGGAATTATCGCGGACGCGGCCGTGGTCGTGGTAGAAATAATTTTCAAAGAAACAGTAATTTCAAAAATTTTGAAAAACAGAAGGGACAGTTATCTGGAAGCCACAAACAAACTCCTTCGAAAGGAAAAGACACATGTTACAGATGTGGCATGACAGGACATTGGGGACGTACTTGTCGAATGGCCAAACATTTGGTAGACCTTTACCAGGCTTCTGTAAAAGGCAAAGAGAAAAATGCAGAAGCAAATTATGTTAATGAGGAAAATGCTCCTTGTCCCAGCCTTGATGTGTCTGATTATTTCATGGATAATGCTGAAATTGGAAATGATTTCATTCTTGGAGAAAACAACAATACTTAGGTTTCTCATCTACTAATGTAACATATGCTATGTTTTAATGTATTTTCTTAGTTCCCTGTATTTTAATGTACTTTTAATCTCTATCATCAATAAAAGTTTGTATGATATTATTCTAAACTAATCTCAAATTTATTTTATGAAGATATGGATCTACCTGAAGTTAGTTCCGAATATCAATTCCTTTTGGACAGTGGAACAACGCACACTATCTTAAAAGATAGAAATTATTTTTCACAACTAAAGTTGTTTCAAGCAAATGTAAACACCATTTCCGGGTCAGCTAAATTAATTGAAAGATCTGGAAAGGCTTGTATAATGCTTCCAAATGGAACAAAATTAATAATCAATAATGCTTTATATTCGAGTAAATCTCGAAGAAATCTCATAAGCTTTAAAGATGTACGCCAAAATGGCTATCATCTAGAAACAATGACAACAGATCAAAAAGAGTATATATGCCTCACGGCAGAAAAAACATGGCAAGAAACATATGTATGAGAAATTGCCAGCATACTCTTCGGGGTTATATCGTATAAACCTACGACCCGTGGAAATCAATATGGTATCTAAACAGAAGTTAGATGACAAACATTTGACTATTTTATGGCATGATCGTTTGGGACATCCAGCAACTGGGATGATGCAAAGAATAATAGCACATTCAGTTGGACATTCAATAAGAAATGTCAAAATTCCCCGATCAGATGAATTAACATGCTCTGCATGCTCACTTGGAAAATTAATAATAAGGCCATCTATGAACAAAATTGCTACTGAATCTCCAAAATTCTTGGAAAGAATTCAGGGAGACATATGTGGGCCAATTAATCCAGCATGTGGACCATTTCGATATTTCATGGTTTTAATTGATGCCTCTACATGATGGTCACATGTTAGTCTACTTTCAAGTAGAAATGTTGCCTTTGCAAAATTACTTGCCCAAATCATCAAATTAAGAGCACAATTCCCAGATCATACGATAAAGAAAATAAGACTTGACAATGCTGGGGAATTTACATCCCAAACATTTAATGATTATTGTATGTCAATTGGAATTGATGTTGAACATCCAGTAGCTCATGTCCATACACAAAATGGTCTAGCTGAATCACTAATTAAGAGATTACAATTGATTGCAAGACCATAATTAATGAGGTCAAGATTTCCATCATCTGCTTGGGGACATGCTATAATATATGCAGCAGCGCTAATTAGATTGAGACCTACAGCTTATCATAAATTCTCACCACTACAACTTGTTTGTGGTCGAGAACCAAGTATCTCACATCTAAAAATCTTTGGTTGTGCTGTATATGTTCCCATTGCTCCACCCCAACGAACAAAAATGGGTCCACAAAGAAGGCTGGGAATTTATGTCGGGTTTGAATCCCCCTCTATAATTAAATATCTTGAACCATTGACTGGTGACTTATTTACGGCTAGATTTGCGGACTGTCACTTTAATGAAACAGTATTCCCAGCCTTAGGGGGGGAGAAAGTGGACCCACGTAAGAAAGAAAGTGAACTAATTTGGAATGCAACACAACTGTTGATGTTAGAACCACGAACAAATATGTGTGAACAAGAAGTTAAGCAAATTGTTCATTTACAAAGTGTTGCAAATCAATTGCCTGATGCATTTGTAGACACAAAGAAGGTGACAAAATCACATATACCAGCAGAAAATGCCCCTGCACGTATTGAAATCCCAACTGGTAATAAGGCCATAGAAAATGAATCTCAGGCACGCAGAAAGCGTGGAAGACCACTTGGTTCAAAAGATTCTAAGCCAAGAAAATTGAAAAGATTAGATGGAATAGAAAATGAGACTAATGATGTTCCCCCGTCAGAAGGTCAAGAAAAACCAAATGTGGATGAAAGTAAAGAAAATGATGATAATCCAAAAGGGGACGAACAAGAAGACAACCCTACGGGGAATGAACAAGATGTTCAAAACATCGATAACAATGAAATTTCAATGAATTACGTCTCTACAAAGACTCAGTGGAATAGGAAAGATGTTATCGTTAATGAAACATTTGCAAATTCCATCGCAATCGACATCGTGTCTGATGAAAATGATGTTGAACCAAGAACTGTAGAAGAATGTCGACGTAGGAGTGATTGGCCAAAGTGGAAGGAGGCAATGCTGGCTGAGTTAAAGTCACTTGAAAAACGAGAAGTTTTTGGGAAAATAACCCTTACACCAGCAGGTGTAAAACCCGTTGGATACAAATGGGTATTTGTGAGAAAACGTAATGAGAAAAATGAAATAGTTAGATACAAAGCAAGACTTGTAGCCCAAGGATTTTCTCAAATTCCAGGGATTGATTATGAAGAAATATATTCTCCAGTGGTTGATGCAACTACATTAAGATTTCTGGTAAATTTTACAGTCACAAAAGGACTGCAATGCGATTAATGGATGTAGTGACTGCGTATTTGTATGGGTCACTCGATACGGACATTTACATGAAAGTCCCCGAAGGACTAAAACTACCAGAAAACCACAAGCCTAGACAACTGCTTTCCATAAAACTAAAAAGGTCACTTTATGGATTGAAACAATCTGGAAGGATGTGGTACAACCGTCTGAGTGAATACCTTATGAGAGAAGGATTCAAAAACAACCAAGTTAGTCCCTGTGTTTTCATAAAGCGATCACAATCAGGATTCGCTATCATTGCAGTTTATGTTGATGATTTAAATATCATCGGAACCCCAAATGAACTCGAGAAAACTGCAAAATACTTGATGAAAGAATTTGAGATGAAAGACCTTGGGAAAACTAAATTTTGCCTTGGACTACAAATTGAGCACTTGAGTCATGGCATTTTTGTCCATCAATCAAACTATACAGAAAGAGTTTTGAAACGTTTCTTCATGGACAAAGCAACCCCAACCAACTTCCCAATGGTTGTTCGTTCTTTGAATATGAAAAATGATCTATTTAGACCCCGAGAAGAAAATGAAGAGATTTTGGGTCCAGAAGTACCATACTTAAGTGCAATTGGAGCCTTAATGTACTTAGCTAACAATACTAGACCCGACATAGCTTTCTCTGTGAATTTGTTAGCCAGGCACAGCAATGCACCAACATATAGGCATTGGAAGGGAGTTCGACACTTACTCCGGTACCTACGAGGGACACAAGACCTTGGTTTATATTACCAACCAAAACAAGATGCTGCTCTCATTGGGTATGCAGACGCTGGATACTTATCAGATCCTCAAAATGCCAAGTCACAAAATGGATATGTGTTCACTTATGGCGGCACTGCAATATCATGGAAATCAACAAAGCAGACATTGACCGCGACATCATCAAATCATGCAGAGTTGATAGCCCTCTATGAAGCAGGACGGGAATGTGTGTGGCTGAGGTCGATGACCAGTAATATCCAAAAGGAGTGTGGAATGAACACAATAACAGAAGACCCAACCATCATCTTTGAAGACAATACAGCATGTATCGCTCAAGTAACTGAAGGATATATTAAGGGAGATAAAACGAAACATATTGCCCCGAAACTGTTCTTCACACATGATCTGCAAAAGGACAAGGAAATAAATATCCAGCAAATTCAGTCTTGTGAAAATCTTGCCGACCTTTTCACCAAATCACTTCCTTCGAAGAAATTTGAACAGTTAGTTCACAAAATCGGAATGCGACATCTTCGTGAACTATGCTGAGATCAGGGGGAGTATTATATGTACTGCACTCTTTTTCCCTTCGATCAGGTTTTTATCCCACCGGGTTTTTCCTGACAAGGTTTTTAACGAGGCAGTATACCAAAGCATATAATACTATATCGTTGTACTCTTTTTCCCTAGCTATGGTATTTACCCCATAAGGGTTTTACCTAGCAAGGTTTTTAATGAGGCAACTTGTACCCCATTCCATGTGAACGTTCAAAGGGGGAGTGTTGAGAAACATGATTGAATTGAACTTCACATGTGGTAATTAAAGTCAATGAAGACTTTACTAAGTACAATAATTTGTATAAAGTACAATAATGTATATTATTGTATTCAATTATTTTGGCTATAGAAATGAAAGTTCACGTATTGTGAACTTAAGTTGAAAAAACAAGAAAAGAGTTTTCCTACCATTCTACTACTTACTTCCTATCTTCATCCCTTCACTGATAAATATCTTACCATCAGTAAAATATTTTTAACAATTTTCTTTTTTTTTATAAGCTCTAATTTTGAATATTATTTTATATAGTGAAAATGTCAAACCTTGCCAAACTTGAATTCGTGGCCCTTGATATCACTAGAAAGAACTATTTATCATGGGTGTTAGATGCTGAAATACACCTAGATGCTAAAGGCCTTGGTGAAACCATTAAGGAGGGTAATAAAGCAACACTCCAAGATAAGGCAAAGGCCATGATATTCCTTCGCCATCACCTCCATGAAGGACTCAAAAATGAATATTTAACTGTGAAAGACCCACAAATCCTTTGGAGTAATCTAAAGGAAAGGTATGACCACCAAAAACGGTGATACTACCTAGAGCTCGTTATGATTGGTTGAATTTGAGATTGCAAGATTTAAAATATGTTAGTGAATATAACTCAGCTATGTTTAAAATCACTTCTAAGTTGCAATTATGTGGAGAAAATATTACTGATTCAGAAATGCTTGAAAAGACATACTCCACTTTCCATGCAAATAATATTGTCCTGCAGACACAATATAGAGAAAAAGGTTTTAAAAAATATTCTGAATTAATATCTTGTCTTCTTGTGGCTGAGCAAAATAACGAGCTGTTAATGAAAAATCATGAATCACGTCCTACTGGCTCTACTCCATTCCCTGAAGCGAATGTGACAACCCATAACGGGAAAGAAACTAAAAACAGAGACCATTCCAACAGTAGTGGTCGAGGTAGAGGTCGTGGTCACAGTCGTGGCCAATGGCGTGGTCGCGGTCGTGGGCGTGGTTTTAGTGGATATGGTAGAGGTCGTGGAGGTCATTACCCAAATTCACATTCCCACCAGAAGTGGGAACGTAGGGATGATAAAGAGAAAAGTGAGACCAATATATGTTACCGTTGTGGAGGAAAAGGCCATTGGTCTCGGGTTTGTAGAACTCCAAAGCATCTTGTTGAACTTTATCAAGAATCATTGAAGAAAGGAAAGAAAGTGGAGGCAAACCTTGTTCTTGAAGATGGTGAAGGTAATTTTGATTTTGGCAATGCAAATCATTTTGATGTTGCTGATTTCCTTACTTCCCCGGAAGGGAATAATTTTGATTTTGGCAGTACAACTCATTTAGAAGTTGGTGATTTCTTCAATGCCCCGGAAGGGAATAATTAAATTTATATTATTTTGTGTCAACTTTAAGTATTAGACTTTATCTAGTTATTTACTTATTTTAATTTCTATGGTTGTAATAAGGACTTTTGCTTTATGAATTTATGAACTATTTGGGTGTTTTTATTGATTTATTTATTTATCATCTTTATTTTCATGCTTAACATTTTGACATATATTTTATTTCATGAAGAACATGGATATTACTCAAGTTCAGTTTGCTATGAATGGTGAAGAATTATGTCTTGCTGACAGTGCAACTACTCATACAATACTTAGAAATAAAAAATATTTCTCTAATTTGATGATGAAAAGGATTAATGTGAGTACCATATCGGGTAGTACAAATATCATTGAGGGCTCCGGAAGAGCCACTATAAAACTGCCTTGGGGAACTGAAATTAAAATAATTGATGCTTTATACTCCCCATTGTCTCAAAGAAATTTATTAAGTTTTAAGGATATTCGCAACAATGGTTATCATATTGAGACAATCAATGAAGAAAATAACGAATTCCTTCAAATCACAAATATAACTCAAGGCACAAAACATGTTTTGGAGAAACTCCCTACATTCTCCAGTGGTTTGTACTACACAAAAATCAATACTATTTAAACTCATGCTATAGTAAACCAAAAGTTTACTGATAATTTTGTTGTTTGGCATGACCGGTTAGGCCATCCCGGTACAATAATGATGCGAAAAATAATTACGAATTCATGTGGACATTCTTTGAAGAGCCAACAGATTCTTCATAATAATTTTTCATGTGCTGCTTGCTCAGAAGGCAAGTTGATAATTCGCCCATCACCAGCTAAAATTAATTTTGAATCAATTAGTTTTCTGGAACGTATACAAGGAGATATTTTTGGGCCCATACATCCCCCATGTGGACCATTTAGATATTTTATGGTTTTAATTGATGCATCAACTAGATGGTCACATGTGTCTTTGTTATCAACTCGTAACCTGACGTTTGCGAGATTACTTGCCCAATTGATTAAGTTACGGGCACATTTTCCAGATACTCCCATTAAGACTATTCGGCTTGATAATGCTGGTGAATTTACATCTCAAGCTTTCAATGATTATTGCATGTCCATTAGGATAAATGTTGAACATCCTGTAGCTCATGTTCATACACAAAACGGTTTGGCAGAGTCATTAATTAAACGTATTCAGTTAATTGCTAGACCATTGGTTATGAAATCCAATCTCCCAATTTCTGCTTGGGGACATGCTATATTACATGCAGCAGCACTAATTCGCATTAGACCAACAAGTTATCACAAGTTCTCCCCATTACAATTGGTTTATGGTCAGGAACCAAATATTTCCCATCTAAGAATTTTTGGATGTGTGGTTTATGTTCCAATAGCTCCACCACAACGCTCTAAGATGGGTCCTCAAAGGAGGATGGGAATATATGTTGGGTTTGAATCCCCGTCAATAATCAAATATCTTGAGCCTACAACAGGGGATTTATTTACGGCTCGTTTTGCAGATTGTCATTTTAACGAGTCACTTTTCCCAACATTAGGGGGAGAAAAGAGAGAGCTGGAAAAAGAAATTAAATGGAATGAATTATCGTTATCTTATCTTGATCCTCGAACTAAAAAATGTGAACTGGAAGTTCAAAAGATAATTCATTTACAAAGTTTAGCAAATCAATTGCCAGACTCGTTTGTTGACCCAAAAAGAGTGACCAAGTCACATATTCCAGCTGTAAATGCTCCATTTAAAATAGATGTCCCGGAAGGACAAAAATAAATTTTCTAATGAGTCTAAAACACGTCAGAAACGTGGAAGACCAATAGGTTCCAAAGATAAGAATCCTCGGAAAAGAAAAGGAGCATTGATTGATGATGGTCAAATTGAAGAAACAATTTCCGAAGGATCTCCAGAAGAGAATTTAGACATGATACAAGAAGAAATTCAGGTACCAGATAATGAAGAAATTTCAACAAATTATATCATGTCTGGAATTACATGGAACCGAAATCAAATCGACGTCGATGATGTTTTTGCATGCAATGTAGCATTATATGTTATGGATACTAATGAGGATCATGAACCAAAAACCATTGAAGAATGTAGACAAAGAAATGATTGGTCAAAATGGAAAGAAGCAATTGAATCAGAATTAAAATCTCTTGGAAAAAGAGAAGTATTCGGACCTGTAGTCCGTACACCTGAAGGTGTAAAACCAGTGGGATATAAATGGGTTTTTGTGCGAAAGAGAAATGAAAAGGGTGAAGTTGTAAGATATAAGGCACGCTTAGTTGCACAAGGATTCTCACAAAGACCTGGTATTGATTATGAGGAGACATATTCTCCTGTGGTGGATGCAACTACTTTTAGATTTTTGATTAGTCTGGCAATAAGAGAAGGACTTGACTTACGTTTGATGGATGTAGTCACAGCTTATTTATACGGCCCACTGGATAATGACATTTACATGAAGCTCCCAGAAGGATTCAAGCTGCCAGAAGCAGCAAAATCTAGTTCTCGAGAACATTTCTGTATTAAATTGAACAAATCTCTTTATGGATTGAAACAATCTGGGCGTATGTGGTATAACCGTCTAAGTGAGTATTTGTCAAAGGAAGGTTATAAGAATGATCCTATCTGCCCATGTATTTTTGTAAAGAAATTTGGATCGGGATTTGTTATAATTGCAGTGTATGTTGATGATTTGAATATCATTGGAACTCCTGAAGAGATTTCAGTGACTGTCAATTATTTAAAGAAAGAATTCGAAATGAAAGATCTTGGAAAGACAAAATTTTGCTTAGGGTTACAAATAGAGCACCTAGAGAATGGAATCCTTGTGCATCAATCAACATACATAGAAAAGGTTCTTAAAAGATTTTCTATGGATACAGCACATCCATTGAGCAGTCCTATGGTTGTAAGATCACTTGAAGTAGAGAAAGATCCATTCCGACCTCGGGAAAATGATGAAGAAATTCTGGGTCCTGAAGTACCATATCTTACTGCAATTGGAGCACTAATGTACCTTGCAAGTCATACACGACCCGACATATCATTTTCAATTAATTTATTAGCAAGGTTTAGTTCATGTCCAACCCAGAGGCATTGGAATGGGATTAAACATTTACTTCGTTATCTTCAAGGTACGAAGGATATGGGTTTATTTTTCCCAAAGTTGTCCAAAGAAAATTTGATTGGTTTTTCAGATGCAAGTTATTTATCTGATCCTCATAATGGTCGATCACAAACTGGATATGTGTTCACATATGGTGGTACTGCCATTTCTTGGCGTTCTATGAAACAAACCATTGCAGCTACGTCTTCCAATCATTCTGAGATTTTAGCAATTCACGAGGCTAGTCGTGAATGTGTATGGTTAAGGTCGGTAGTTCAACATATAAAAGAAGTTTGTGGTTTATCATCTGGGAAAGAGGCACCGACAACTTTATACGAGGATAATACAGCTTGTATTGCTCAACTTAAGGAAGGATACATCAAAGGTGACAGAACAAAGCACATCTTACCCAAATTTTTCTTCACTCATGATCTTCAGAAGAATGGAGATATAAATGTTTTGCAGATTCGTTCAAGTGAGAATTTAGCAGACCTATTCACTAAGGCTCTTCCAACCGCAACCTTTAAAAAGTTAGTTTATCGTATTGGATTGCGTCGTCTCAAAGATCTTCAGTGATATAATAATGAGGGGGAGTAATTGCCCCGCTGCACTCTTTTTCCCTTATCCATGGTTTTTTATTCCCACTGGGTTTTTCCTAGAAAGGTTTTTAATGAGGCAGCATATATGCGCATTAAATATATTTTAGATAATGCCCATCCAGGGGGAGTGTTACAAAATATATTCTATGTGGATGTTCATTATCATTTGTAACTCCCTAGTATTATGCCACCCATTGTAACCCCCATATGTAATTACCTCTATTGTAACCCCCGCTTAAATGGAATCTTAATTTCCATGAAGGTTACATACTTACATTATGTATATATATATAGCATGGACAAATCAAAGGATAGACAATACAATTACCATCTACATCTCTCTCTAATCTTCTCCCTTTTCCCCTTATTTTATAATAGATTATAATTTTTCGTCAAATAATCATTGTAATGGTAGTGATTTTAGAGGATTTAGTAATGGAGTAGAGTAGAGAGGAGGAGAGTAGAGGAGAGAGAAATAGAGGGGAAGAGAAAAAGGAGTGAGGTGCGAGATTGCCGTACAAACAATTGTCGAACCAATAATTTGTGTTTTTAGTTTCATTAATGTTATTAAACGCAACCTGACTTTACTTAGCGCAGCCTCAATTCCACTCATTTATAAGATGTAGGGAGAAAATAACCATTTTATATATTTTTTTTTCCTCTCAAGTAATCTCTAATAACAAGAGTGCATTAATTTAACTTAAAATACATTGAATTTGCAATGGGTAATGATTTTTACATTAGCCTCTTCGAATTTGATAAGAATCATATGAATCTATTATGTGTAGAATCAATAAAATCACTTTTCATCCTTAAAAAAAATAAAAATAAAAATAAAAACCACTTTTTAATATTTCGTTCAAATTGTATGAAATGATTGAGCCTATTTCGTGTGTCACCCAACTTCATCCGATTCGTGTTCATATTCATTAGATCTCGGAATATTGTTCGCTAATTGATTATGTGAGTAATTCAAATAAACAAAGGTATAAAATTCTGGAAATTAGGTGTGGAAGGAGGTGGAAAGAAAAGCAGGCAGAAATGTCGTGAAGATGATTTTAGCTTAGAAGGGTATTTATGGTATTTAGGAGGGGTGTATAGTAGTAACTAGAGGTTGCGTTTAGCAATCATGAATTTTTATTATATAATTTCTCAACTTTTTTTTTTTTTACGTTGGATTAGAATTTTTTAAAGTTATATATTCATATTAAAAGATTAATTGTGTTCATATTATAGTGTGAAAAAATAAACTGAATATATTGGTTTATCATTATAATGCTATGGTAGTCATATTTTAAACAACCACTAAAAAAAATCCTAATTTTATGGATTCATTACATTTTACGATTTTGGTGTTTTATCACCCCTTAAAACATCACTTTATGATTTTACTATCATGTAAAAACTTTATTTTAAAATACCACCCATAAAAAACTTAAATTAAATTATATGTCACCACCTATTACCTTGATTACCGTTCAAGTTTCCAGTTGCGGGGCCAATATAACGACTAGTATGACCATTTTAGAGCCTTCTTTCTTCGAATTATTTCCTATAAACTAATCCCTTTTGTTTATAAATTTATTTATTTCCAAAATCTCCATATTAGTGTTTGTTAATAATAGATGCAAAAAAATTAAAGAACCTAACAAAGAATAACACAATATGTGGTTCACTAACGATGATTTAGGTTTGTACATCCACGAATAGATAAGGGGAGTGGTGTTTTTTTTTAAACAAAAAAAATCTCTGAAAGTAAAATTTACATGCATAATAGTTGTTATGTTAAACCCCAAGAGAGTTATATAATACTCTCACAATACAAAAGCGGAATAGGTCAAAGTTGGGTCAAAAAATTGAAAAGCATAACCTATATTTCGAATTTTTAAATAGACCTGATTCATATTAATCTATTGTGGACCATTAACTTTAAAGAAACTATGGTTGTTTTATTAATAATAAAAAAAGGTCACTATAATAATAATAAGAGCTGGCAAAAACTGACCCGACCCGACAACCCGACCCGAACCCAACCCGAAATAAATGGGTTATGAGCAAAGTTTTCAACCCGTTTATGTAATTGGGTCGACCTGAACCCAACCCGAAACTAAATGGGTCAGGTTTAGGTTGACAATCCCGACCCGAAAATAACCCGCCTAAACCCGTTTAACTAATTGTGTTGGTTTCAGGTCGGGTCAACCCGAACCCAACCCATATAACCCTATATTAGTAAAATGATATTAGGCCTTAGTATTTTTATTTGGACAAAGCCCAACCTATGTCAAAGCCTATAGAGTACAAAAAAACCCAAAAAGTGAAAACCCTATTTTTTCTTCTAGTCATTTTCCCACTTGTTCAGCCGTTTTCATCTTTATTTTCCCATCTTATTCTCTCACCTCTCTCTTCTTTCTCTATCTAGCTTGTTTATCAAAATTGCAACTTCAAACTTGTTTATCTTCAAATTTTTCGCCTACTACGGTAATATAGTCATGCATTTCATTCTATTTACAATTATCTGTTTTAGTGTTGTTAAGAAATGTTGATTGAGACTTTCTAATTTGGTGAATAATATGAAAAATAAAGAAGTTTCGGCTGTGTTTGGGTTTTTTTTTTTCGATTTATGATGCTTTGTTTTGGATAAATTGGTGAATAATCTGATTATGTTGCTTTTTTTCTTCATTTATATTTCTATGCATGCATTTGTTACTTTGTTTTTTCATTTTTATTAGATTATTTTTTGCATTTTGCAAGTTGATCAGGATTTTGTATTATGCTCTTTGTTTATAATGAAGGTGAATGATGAAGCCAATACACCAAGCCCATTTGAGAGCGCACCTCAAAGTCAGTAGCAAGACCAACTAGTCAAACCTGATGAAGTTTTCCAAGATCTAATTTTTATTTTGTTGGGAATATTGCCTCCTTAAGACATTGATTTTGATTTTGGACTGTACAGTAAATTATTATGTGTAAACTATGGTTAGTTTTACTTGAATGTATTTTTATTATGCTTAAATTGATAGGTTTATACAGCAAAGTTTTATGCAAAATAAAAAGTGAAATATACGACTTTTTTTATCATTATATTGTAAGGAATAATCGGGTTTTTATTTTAAAAAAAAAAAAACAGGTCAAACGGGTTGAAATCAGGTCAACCCGTTTAAACCAGGTCGGGTTCAGGTTCGCCATTCTGACCTGTTTAAGTAAACAGGTCGGGTTCAGGTTGGGGGGTCTTGACCTGTTTATTAAACAGGTCGACCCGAACCCAACCCGACCCGACCTGTTTGCCAGCCCTATTAATAATAATAATAATAATAAAAGTCACTATGTTGAAATAAAAGTCATTTTGGTAATATATAAGCTATAAGAGGTTAATTTTTTTTAATGAAATAATTTATATACTGGCCAATATGAATAATAAAGGTCACTATGTTAAAATTAGGGTCATAACGTCATACTTCAAGTTCACAATAATATTAAATGTTATAGAAGTTTTAATAAAGGTTACCATGTTAAAATTAAGGTTTAATATGTTTAAAATAAGGGTCACTATGTCCAATATGATGTTAGTTGCGTGTATGCAAACCTTGGGTCCACAATAACGACCAGGTCCACGCAAGTTTTTTTGAATCTATATATTGTCTTCTTCTTTATAGTTGAGACAATTCATTTGTCATTGTAAAATTATATAAAGTAGATACAAATAAAATTTACATTGAGACAATTAAACTAGATCTCACATGACTATTTTTATCCTAGTTATAAATCACGAAAGTTAATGAAAGTGTTGTTTGTAAATAGGGCAAAAGTCAAAGTGTGTCAACTAAAAAAACATAAAATAATAGGTATCATAAGTTTTGTGAAGATTTCCCACGCACAAACCTAGCCCCCATAATAGGGCTCGTTGCCCCTAGACCTAATTCACTGAACAGGCAACGAGACTCCTGTGTTAATCGTCCTAAGGGAGCTAGCTGATCCAAGATATATTCTAATTTATAACAACGTAAAATCTAAACGTGTTAAAACATTAAAAATTTAAAATTAATAATTACAATATTTAAATGGAGGAAAGGACACAAACCGAGTATCTAAGCATTCCTTCTTTATTTTTTATTTTTAATTGTTGACTAATCTCACATATAATACTCGTATTTAGCATTTTTGACCCATCCACCCACCCACCCAAAAGAATCCAAACACACTATTACAAAAAAAAACAAAACATTATTACATTCCAACCAAATCAACTATAAGATGCGTACCTTCCTAAACTTTGTTCCCTCTTTCCCGTTGACTCTCTCCAGTCTCCACCACCTTCTTCCTCTAATTCTCCATCCTCTCCTCCTCCTCTCCACAATTCCCAACCCCATTCCACCACCAATCCCGTGGTCTCGTATCGTTTAAAAAAAAAAAACGAGAGAGTCTGACCACATACAAGCCCAACACGACATTATTATTCCATCAACTAATAATAAACAACACAAAACATGCCTCTATTAGTAGATTGCTCAAATTGCAAGACACCCCTCCAACCCCCGCCCGGCGCTAATTCAATCCGCTGCGCCATTTGCCACGCAATCACTCGCATCCACCATGATCCTCGCGCGCTCCCACCCGGTCTGCCCCCGCCACATTCCTACTACCCTCCGCCGCACCACGCCCCTGTTGTGCCACCTTCTTCCTACCACGGAGCTCTTACGCCGCCGTCTATTGCCGGGCGGAAGAAGGCGGTGATTATTGGGATTACATACAGGAATTCAAGATATGAGCTTAAGGGTTGTATTAATGATGCTAAGTGTATGAAGTTTTTGCTTATGAATCGGTTTAAATTCCCTGAAACTGAGATTCTTATGCTTACTGGTATCACTCTTTTTCCCTCAATTTATTCTCTTTTATAGCAATTTTGTTTTGGGTGTTTTCTATTTTTGGTAATTTTGTATATTTTTTGTTTTTTTTTTTTGTTGATTTAATGCTCTTTTTGTGGGTGTAATTAGGGTATGATCTTTCATTTGGGTATTTTTACTTGATCATTGATTTGTCGGATTTGATTGATTGTGGGGTAGCTATTGTAATTGAGAATTTTCAAGGAAGAAATCAAAAACTGATTTTTGGTGAAATAAAATAAAAAGTTTCTTCCTTTTTTAGTAACGTGATAGAAATGTGAGTTGATCAAACTGTAGGATATTAAATTGGGTTTGCCCAGTCAAGATCTTTCTCAACAATGTACACAGTTAACTATCTCTAGAATATGATTACGAGAGATTAACAACAGAGGTTTGTTATTTAGGGCTGATTTGCCGGTTTAAGAACTTATCTGAATAAATAGGGCATTAACTTGTTATTTCGGGATTTTTTAAGATCAAGGCATTAGATTTGTACTCTCATTGAAGTTAGGGTCTGTTCACATCTACTTAATTTCAGTTCAATTCAGTTTAGCTCCAATCAGTTCAGTTCAGCTCCAATCGATTCAGCTCAGCTCCGTTCAGTAAATGTGAACAAACCCTTAATATTAAGTCTGTTTCATACTATGTGTAACATTTATTAAAAACGCTTGTTACACAAGTAACACATAACACAAAATTATGTGCAACAAATGTTATTTTTTAAGTTGTCATTTCTCTCTATCTCTCTCCTTATCACATGCGTAATGCTGATGCATCACTGTTTTTCTCCGTCCATTTAAAAATCACAAAAAAAAAGCCTTGGAGTTCATGTCAAGGCCTTTGTTGCACATGAAACAAATGTAGTATTATAATTCATTTCTCTTAGAATCTCTAGTGAAGTCAAGATTAGCTAAGGCTGATTAAGAGGCAGTAGGCTAAAAAATCGGATAATTTACCCAACGATAAATCAATATTCTGTCATTTTATGCTAAGGCTGCTAACAATTCCAATCTAATTCCCCTTTTGAAAGCTACTTTGCAGAAGATGAGAGGGATCCGTACAGAGTTCCTACCAAGCAAAATATCAGAATGGCAATGGCTTGGCTTGTAGCAGGATGTCGTGCAGGTGACTCACTAGTATTTCACTTTTCCGGGCATGGTTCACAACAGCGGAACTACAATGGAGATGAAGTGGATGTCTATGATGAGACCCTCTGTCCCCTGGACTTTGTTACCAAAGGGATGATCGTAGATGATGAGATTAATGACACAATTGTTAAGCCTCTTCCTCCTGGTGCTAAGCTCCATGCTATTATTGATGCTTGCCATAGTGGCACTATGTTGGACCTACCATTTCTTTGCAGGATGAATGGGTTAGTCTTTCTGCTCTTGGTATCCACTTGTAAAGTTTTAAGTCATTTTACCATCCATTTGTTTCGATTATTAGAGAATCCACCCGCAACTTGAAAAGCATTACAGTAATTTACCATTACTGCATTTAAGTATACTGTATACCATTGTATTCTTACCAACTATAATTGTCCTTTTTTTTTTTTGACACTTATAATTGTCCATTTTAATTGGACATTAAGATATTGGATATTTTAATGCAAGGGGTATATTTAGTATTATCCAATACAAAAGATTGGAGGTCGTAAACTGTAACATTATAGGTGGTTTTCTTAAAAAATCATCGAAAAAGTGTGGTATTTATGAGGTAATGGGGCTTTATGAGTTATGACAATATGACATCTAAAATGATAACCAATGCAAAACGAGCAGTTTATCTAACAGGTTAATTATGGCAGGAGTGGGCAGTATGTGTGGGAAGACCATCGCCCTAGGTCAGGTAGATGGAAAGGTACTAGTGGTGGAGAGGTTTTCTCCTTCAGTGGCTGTGACGATGATCAAACATCTGCTGATACATCGGTAAGTAGCATTGATCATGATCTCCCTGTGCTTGCTTACATTAATCTATTTGAAAGTTTCTAATGTTATAATACCGCATATAGGAGGTGAGAAAGTAACGTTTTTGACTGGACTTATTAAATTTTGGTTGTGCTGTGTGCAGGCATTATCAAAGGTGACTTCAACTGGAGCTATGACTTACTGTTTCATTCAGGCGATTGAGAGAGGACATGCAAGTACCTATGGGATCATGCTTAATGCTATGCGAGATGCAATCCGCAAGACTGATACTTCACCTGGAGGTGGTGTTGTTACATCTCTTCTTACCATGCTTTTGACTGGAGGAAGTGGTGCTGGATTGAGACAGGTACTAGTTTTCTTTACAAGATAAAACTGTCACAAATATTAAAAAGATAAAATTAAAAATGTACTGTTTAAGGAATTCCGAACTATTATCCACTTACTATTGTAGTATTTCTCTGTGTTGCTTCCTCATACTACCTTTTGATTGCTAGCATAACGTGTTCATAAACAATATATTTTCCAATTAGGACTTTTCTTACATGAGTAATTCGTTTACCCTAATATTTAGGCTGTTCTCACCTTCAATTTAGGTTGGGTTTCAAGTTTGTAAAAGGTTATACTTACCGTGAATCCGTGATATATAATTCTAGAAACGGAACTTACAATACCTTCACTAATGCAAAAATTGTTAAAACAGCCCACTCATGAAACTTAAGAAAAGAAAAGCCAAACCTGCTTCCTATGGAAGTTTTATTATGCTTTGATGAACTTGTTGTCAATATACAAATAGAACTGTAGGAATACTAAGAACATTAAGGAAGTAAACTTAAATTAGATCTATTTTTATTTAAAAATAATAAAATTAAAAAAAAAAAAACCACCATTTAAGGTCCGACTCCCTCTCAAACTATTGAATATAAGCGAAGCAAGTCAGAAAAACAAGATCCTAAAAAATTATGCACAAACGAGTATAGTCTGGTGTTTGGACCTCAAATCAATCCAATATTACCTCCCAACCTAAGTAAAACTACGGTACATTAGCTTAGCTAGCCACAAAATGTAACAGTTCAAGAGACTTATAGTCTCAATGTGACCACATCATATTCATCCTCCCCTTCTTGGAATCAGATTGGGCCACAGATTTGAGCCGAAAACCACTCATAAATCTCCTGCATAATTATAACCCTTAACTCAATTATTTCATCACATGTCTATTGTTGGTATCAAGCAGGAAATTGGAACCATGTCGTTGTGTGTTACCAGTCAAATTACACATGATAATCGCATTTACCACTTTCAGATTCTTGTTTTCACATATTTGCTCCTCTTCTTGCTCTCTTTTTTCCCATGTAAGCATGCAAGAACAAACTGTTTATTCTTATCTTTGTGCTTATAGATTCAGCCTATTAGGATTCATTGGCTTAAGAGTGATCTATTTTTACTTCTGTTGCAAAGAGTAGGTATTCTCATGCCCTTTTATGTAGTTCTTGTTGAAATATCATGGTCTTCCACAACATAAGTTGCATGCATCCATTGATGTGACTGCAAAAAAATAGTATACTCCTAGACTCCTAGTCTCCAATGTCAGAAATAATGATCTTTGCTCTGCTATTTTATTTAACCATCAAAGCTTATACAGAAATAACAAGTTTCTCTCGCTGATAAACAATTTTTGTTTATCACTAAGAGAAACTGGGGCAAGCTCAAAGCTTATATACTAAAATAGTATATATGAGTCACTGTAGAAAATTTTGAACCATAAAAATAAATAAATAAAAGCTAAATAGACCATGTTAGTACTAGAACCAATTTTTTTGCTGAATTCAGAATTCATGTCTCCAACTTTACAATTCGATGAGAAAATGCTCTTATTGGTTTTCCATGTATAACTTTGGATTGGCGTGATGTAATCCCAATACGCCATGGAAACAAAGTTCTATCTTCTGAAGTTTTTCCTTGTCTTCCTCTTTTCATTCATGATGACACCAACCATTCATAGTCATCACCTTTTTGTTCCCTTGGCACTTGATAATTTTCTAAGCCTTGTTGCCTTGATCTCAGTCTTATTTTTGCAATTGAAGGCATTAAAACTAATGATAAATCTAGCATTTTTCATATTGTCCTTTTATTGCAAATCACATAGTATTGTTAGCTCTTTCAAATGCCCTCAGCAACAGTGCAACACTAAGGATTGTTTTTAATGCAACCTATTCAATTCCAAAATTTGCTCGAGTATTGCTGTTTCTTGAGTTTATTTAAAGTGAATCTTAGGTCTGTTATCTGCATTCTGCAATCATTGAAGGTGAGCAATGCATATTTTGTGGTTTAGAGTCACCACATTGTAGCTGTAATGTTGATCATACTGCCTCTTAAGAAATTATGAGAATATCCAGTTTATGCCACCTATCATCATCATCAATTCAATCCAGAGCTCTAAAATATGAACTTTGGCACTCATATTAGAGCCTCTAGATTCTTTTATTAATCTGCACTTGATTATCATACCTGCGCTATTTGCATTGATGTGACCTGTTTTGGATCTAGAGTTGATTGCTTATTATAGTAATTTGTTCTTTCAAATTCTTTAATGTATTATCCTTATTCCTATGCTAGAGGAATTATGTTACTACCTCCGATTTTTTTTAGTTGCAACTTTAGGGTATTATTTGTGACATATAAAATATTCCAAAGTTGCAACTAAAAAAATCAGAGGTAGTATTTTAGATTAGTATTTCTGGTATATTAACCTTTTCTTTTCCTTGCAGGAACCACAGTTGTCGTCAAATGAAGGATTTGATGTATACAGGAAGCCATTTTCACTATAATAATTATGCAGTGTTTGTACCATTGTTTACAAGCATAGCCTGTAATGTTGTAATATGTCATGTTGTAATATATTTGTAGCCAATTTTTTTTTCGCAATGCATTGGAAATTTGAATTATTAATGGATGTACAATGCATTGGAAATTTGGAATTATCAATGGATAATCAACAATGGCTCAATTAGCTTATGTATTTGTTAGAGGAAAGATGATCTTAAAGTGTTCTGTGCTTTTGGGACAGAAATTTCAAGCTCCTACAAGCAGAAGCAAGTTATGAAATGAGGGATAGGAGAAAGAAAAAAAAAAAAAATACAAGGGTATTTATACGAAAAACAGTTTCAATGGTTTTCTCACTTCCTGCTAGTGCCAATACACCTTCAGGGTCACTAAAAACAGCAATTGATGTGGTTTCCTTGATTAACTACATGAGAGTCATTATCGAAATTTGTATAATGGCAATCGAAGCACAATCTAACAAACAAAACTTAAAATACAAGATAGTTTACAATCACTTCATTTATAATGACTACAAAGGCTTCATTTGTAACAGATCTTTCATTGCTGTAAAATTTTGTATTCTGAAATCATGAAATAAATTTGTTTCCAACTTCAAATAATATCCACCTGACTATCAATATGGCCTGTACCGCATTGGAGGCCTGAGTCTAGGAGCCCTTCTACAAAATGAAAAGGTAATGAAATTAATGTAGTGTGACTAATAATTAGTAGGGGGTAAAAACCAAATCAGCTGTAAGGGAAAAAAAAATAGAACCCGCCACAGAAGGAACATAACGACTGCATTCAATCTATAAAACGCTGCATCTAATAAAACTAAGAAAGATTCAACTAAAAGTCTACGGAAAATCTTGAATTGATAGGTTTCCAAAAAACTTTACAAATTTCACATTTCCAAATTGCAACAAATTGGATAAGCAGTAGCAACACATGGGTTAACTTTACAAATTGCTGACCAAAGATGGATGATAAGAGATGGAAACAAGTGCTAAATGATCTGTTCTCAATTTATTTGTAGGTGTTACAGTAAAATTAAGTTAGTTCAGCAAAAATTAAGTCAAAGTTCAGCAAAAAATAAGTCAAGTCAAGCATATGTTAAGCAAAAATAAGCTCGAGAGAACAAAGCCTAAGTCCCACTTGAAGTTATGAAATTGGATTTGTTCAACTACTGAAATCACATTTTATTAACTTTGGCGTTTTCTAAACACTTAATATAACTCAATTTAGCTTCTAGGTTTTTAAGGTATACCCTTGTGAACAGTTGAAGTTCTTTATTGAACATTTTTGTCAAATATATCTATTGAACTTCTCTGCCTACTTGAACAATTGAATTAGGTAAGTATAATACTACAAAAGAATATTCCTCTATAAAGCTTAAAGTCTAGGGAAGAAATTAATTCAGGTATGTGAATAGTCAGCTACTTTTGAGATCTCTAAAAATTTGCTAATTTGGTCAATTAGAAAGGAAAAAATGCCATGAATTGCAGATCCAAAAAAGGAGGGTGATTTTTATATTTACAAAATATCCATGTATATTACTAGTACAGAAGATAGCCTACCCATATCCTCCATATGCAGGAAAAACAGGTGCTCCCGGCATGAATGGCCGCCTTGATCTGCCTCCATAAGGACTCGGTCGCCTTCCTCGAAACTGTTTCATCCCAGGAACATTTGTCCTCTTAGCAGATACCTATTCATAAATTGTATAATTTTTTTACAATACAGCATTTGCAGATACAATTAAAATGATAAGGTGAGCATATAACAATTGATACCTTCAATTGACGGCCATGCAATTCAGTTTCATTCAGCAAGACAGCATGCTGAACAGCTTCCATTTCCACGAACTCTACATAAGCGAATCCCTTAGGTTGACCAAATCTGTCTGTCAAAATGGTCACTCTGTTCACTGTTCCGCATGATTGAAAATGCTGCTGAACCTCCTCTGGTGTACATGCATAGTCAACCTAAACACAAATGAACAAGAAGAGTAAATTCCTCAAGCATTCAGAGATAGAAAGCAATATTACAAACACCAAACCACAAGATTCATAGCTAATGCGGACTTCTATTATGAACGATATATTTCAATTGAATAACTCACTTTCCAAATTAGTTTGTTAATTTAGACAGTAAAGTTACTTGAAGCAGCTGAATGTCTTATCTAACTGCCATTCTACTCTTATTTATTGTTTAACTAAACTAACCTCTCTTTATGAAAGAGCAGGCTACAACCACTGCATAAAACAATACTTAATTGAGCCTCCTGATAAGAACTAGGATGGAGCAAAATCAGCTTATACAGTGGTCTGGTTTCTGACAGTTAAAATGCTATAGAAGCAATTAGTTCAAGATGCTATATGCCTACAACATGGTCAATCATGAAACATAGAAACCTAAGCTTTTAGCTTTTTTTCTTTTCTTTTTTTTTCTTTTTCTTTTTTTTTTTTTTTTTAAATTCTATGGAGAGATGTTTTGGTATGTAGACAATGTAGTTGGACAATCTTATAACAATTATCCACAGCAAAGCACGAGAAACGAAGAAACCTTTTCCTCTTTTTCTCATTCAGAGATATGGCATCCGGTCATTTTTTTATCGGGTTCGGTTCGTAATAACTCACTCAAGTCTCAATTCAGCCAAAATCTTGTGATTAGTCATTCAGTTCACATTCCAGTGTACTACCAATAGTTGATATGATTAGTCATTTACAGCAAATTCAAACATTATTAGGTAAGAACAAAGTTTGGATCATATCCATATTGGATTATCTAATTTTAAATTTTGGATATAAGGCAGGTAATTTGGACAGGTATTGGTCAAAATTGCCAGGACTACACTTAGCCTGAACCCTATCAAAGTATCAAATCCACTTCAGTTGCTGGCTTGCTGCATGCACTATGTACAGATTATCCATTATCTTAATCATCAATAAAGTGACTTGACCTCCATTTATGAAGCTGAATCTCTTCTGTGCTTTGCCACAAATAGTATCCTTTGGAATCACAGTCCTTAAGCTTGTTTTCAGAGATAGAACACAAACACATTATAGACAACTATACACATGCATCAAATGGTTACTACTTATTAGAAAAGAAAGCACTGTACTTGAACCCACTCAGATAACAGTTTCCAACTTTCCACCCCAAATAGCCTACTCAATATATGTTCAAAAGCTCGCCTCAAAGAGTTGAAGGCATTACTACAGTTTTCAGTGAATGTCCGCCAGACACACTTTGCAGTGTTCATTTTATCAGAGTCCACTTTTTGCAACCAATTTTTACATATAGAATCTTTCATTTTACGAAACATGCCTTACAATTATGTTTTGTGAATAGGTTACATACAGCACCCTCATCACCTTAGCCTTTTCAAACACTACCCAATCCAAACTGTACCAAATCAAACTTGCAAACCGGCAAATTCTCTAGATCAGGATTAGTTCCAGCAACAAGTACACAACATTTGTTTATCCACATCCCACAACCAATTGTAACTTATACCACAACTAAAGTAGACCGAATTTGTAAAAACTGTATATGGAAACAAGAGATTCTTCCAAATCCGCCTCATGATTGGTCATTACCTTAAGAGCTAATAGTTACAAAAAGTGACTTCAAAGCTGGTCATTACCTTAAGAGCTAATGGTTACAAAAAGTGGCTTCAAAGCTGCAGAGCAGCAGGGCCACAAGATCACTTTAGCCTCAAACATTAAAAATCACATCTTCGGGAAGACAGAAAGGAGAAGACACAAAATCTAATGGTTAGAAACAATAAGTTGTTCCACAATGATATGTCTCATATACTATGTTAGATTGGACGACAAAGCCAAATTTGGAAGGATTATCAGAATGTAGCGCTTACAAAAGAACATTAAAATATTTCTCAAAACCATAAATGGCTCACATAAAATCCATCACACGATCCATGGTCCTTACCACACAGCACAAGGTATCCAAACTCAAAACCAAATGACAGGGAAAGTAGTACTCACAAGTCATAGTATCATAGGAAAACGCCCATACATCATTTATATACTTCATGTTTCAAATCATTGTCACATTGTCCCAATCCTTAAATAAAGAGTCCACTACTATTTCATCAAAACATTCATGCCTAAAATTTCCTCCTAACCTTCTAGGGCTTCTACCACAGAGCTGACGTGAAATATGTTAGGAAATCCAGCCAGAATCTATTTTTATTCTACAAAATGTGACAAGATATTCTAAATAACCTCAAACAATGATGTGACTATCATTTGCAGATGGAGGAGTCGAAATATGAAAATGTTAAAATGTAGTGATGCTTAAAGGTGACGGAGAGATAATCCCAACAGAAATCTATTCTATGCATAGCTCAAAGAACCCAATGACCTTTGAGAGATTAAGCGCAATCTACCATTAAATGCAATTATGTACATTGAGAAATATGTGCCTATATTAACATTTAACTACAAAGATTTTTTTGATAAACACGCAACAAATTTCACACACGTTATTTGAAAAGCCATCCAAGGCATGCACACAGCAACATTTTTATAATTTTAATAATCTTTAATAGCATGAGCGATAAGGATACCAAGAAGATAGAAATTGCCTCACATTGCCAACATATATTGAACGGGCATCAACCTCCTCCTTTTCAGCTTGAGTCGGGTTAGCACTGGTAGATTCTTCATATAGAAAAATATAGATAATTAATAAATAAGATTCAAAACAATCACCAATTTCATTAAAAAAAAAGATCACCAACATGCCAATACAGAAGATAGAAATCCTAGAATGATTTTCAAGTATCACAAAAGCTTTGTATTAGAGGATGTAAAATAAAGCTTCTTAAAGCAACTCAAATTCAATTCCAAAACTTGCAATAATTAGGGGGTATTAAATGGTAGATCTAGGGTTGTGGAGCTATAAAATTTGGCAGACAATGGAAGAAATCATTTAACATGTAAATAAGATTGTGAGATTCAAGCATTATGCCATATTTTAAAGAAAATTCAAATATTACGCACAACCAATGAACCCGCCAACTTAGTTAGGGTATTAAGTGCAAATTTATTCTTCCCCTTTTTCAGCCCCACCAAAACCACACCGACCCGAAATTCAACCATAGTAAGTACTGCTAGGATAATAGTGCTGCTTGGTATAATGAAGGACCTCTATTATGATCAGTTCTTTCCATAAATATCCAAAAATTTACTAGCTAATAGCTTTATCACAGAAAATAATAACATCATATTCCCTCTATTTCTTTTAGATTCCGATAGAACAAGTTTACTTTATTAAGTCTTAGGAAAAAAATTTGCACATTGTTAAGTGAAAAGTGGGGTCTATTGAGTTTGTGGGAGGAAAAACTTACAGTATTAGGCAATCTCAAAGGGACACCACAAAGGGTAATATGGGGCTAACGGACAGGAAAGGAGGGAATACTAATTAAATCTCTAGGAGTGGTTTATAGATTGTGCAGATAAGGTAAAGGCCAAGAGGGAACATAAAGCTATAAATAATACATACAAAGTATCGATCAAAGGATGCAATACTTAAGTCACATCAAACTCCTGGTTACCAGGCTTTTGGAGGTTATTAGTTAACCACAATTGTTCAGCTCTGAACTTTCAGGCAGCATTTGGTTGAAAGGAAAACCCTAATAGTGAAGATTAACTTTTACCACTATCCTCAATTTAATTAGTAAAGGATTGAAAAATAAGTCTTATGTTGAAATCAGTTTTCTCGATGATAGAAAGAATTCCTCCCATTCAATAAAGAAGGCAACATTTTTCCTCCCCTTCCCTTAGCTTCCCCCACTTCCCTTTGTCCTTTTCCCTCTACCTTTTATAGCACGGAACCGAAAGAGCAGAAAATGAAGTTCCAACCCTAATTTACGAGAAACAAATTCAGTTCAAATTGTTATTTTTGAACCAAACATAATTTTGAATTGAATTCTAATTCCCCTCTTACACAATAATCCCTAAAATCAGTAAATAAGTTAAATTTAAAAAAATTAATATTTGTACTCGACTGTACATAAACTGCATGCCTAAACAGTAAAAAGAAGCATTAAATTAGTTTATGTTTTAATTTTAAAAAAATAAACATCATCTTCCCAACAAAACAATACGGAGTACTAAACAGTAACACCTAATATTAATGGCTTATAAATCCAATAAGCAAAATATCAGCAAAAACCCTAAATTATACCAAACAAATAACAAAATTAATCAAATAAATTACAATATTAAAGATAGCAAAACCACATTAAATTAGAAAAAACAACCACCTTGAGAAACTCCCATCTCCTGCTCAACCTTCGCCTGCATTTCACGAAGCGCACCAGCTTCATCTTCAAGCTCTTCAAGCCTCTTCTTCATATCTTCAAGATTCTATTAAATTCAAAACAAGAACAAATTAGGGCAAAAAAATAGCAGAAAAAAGGGGATTAATAGGAAATTAAAATGAAAACCTGGGATTTAGGATCTTCAGCAGCATCGATTTCAGCGGTGTCAGAAACATCAGCTTCGGGAAACTCGCCATCGTAGACAGCGACATCTTCTTCTTCGCCATAATCGTCGTTCTCAGGTGACTGAAGCTCTGGTTGCTCCATTTTCTCTCTCCTCTGATTTTTGAGATTTTTGTGTGAGGTCAGACAACTCGCTTGAGGTTGAACTATCTGTGTGTGTTGTGTTGTTAGATATTTCGAGGGTATTGTATTACAACAAGATGGAATAAAGGGACTCAACGATCGACTTCGGGTTTTTGTAGTAGGTTAAGATCGGCATAACCTGACCACGGTCTACCACATCACACATGTCTTAGCGATGTTAATTATGATTATTTTTTTATTTTTTTTGGAAAATTCTCAATGGTAGCCGTATACAATTGTGGATTCTCAATGTTAGTCAAATTTTTTCAATAATCTCCTAAATAGCATTAGTATTCCTATTTTTCTCTATTATAGCTATATTTACGTAAATCTGACCAAATTAACCTAAAATCAATAATCATAGTTAGCAAAATTTCCTTCCTAAACTGTAAACACAATTTTCCTCCTAATAGATTGGGCTATGTGAAGTTTATTGAAAATGCTGTCCAAGATCTATAATTTCCCACATAACTTCACAAGAAAATCTTTTGAAAAGTCATTAAAAAAAAATGGGTAGCTAAGCAATGAATGATTACAAAGTTTCCGGAGCTCCATATATACCTATTATTAAAGTGAAATTATAAACCTCCGTTGATAGCTATAATTAAGGATACACGGACACTCAATTCATAAGTTAAAAATTGAAGAACATGACATATCATATAAGCCAATGTTGAAATTAAGATTACATCCTATTTCATTTTGATTTACATTTTAATGAGAAAATTTTGCACAATAAATCATGATATTAATTGAATAAAAAACAGGGAAAGCAAGCTTTTAATCCATTAAGGGCATGTTCACATTTACTTAATTTCAGTTCAGTTCAGTTCAGCTCCAATCAGTTCAGTTCAGCTCTTAATTTCCCTCTCTCATAAAATATTCATTTCAACTCAGTTCAGTTCAGTCAGTTCAGCTCCAATCAGTTCAGTTCAGTTCAGTTCAGCTCTTAATTTCCCTCTCTCATAAAATATTCATTTCAGCTCAATTCAGTTCAGTTCAGTTCCAATCAGTTCAGTTCAGTTCAGCTCTAATCAGTTCAGTTCAGTTTAGCTCAGTTCAATAAATGTGAACATGCCCTAAATTTGGGGGGGAAAAGCTGAAAAATCAGGGTAAAGTAGGGATGAATTACTTTGCCAGTGTTACAATTTTGCATGCACCTTTGGCAGATTTTAATTAATGGTTTTAATTTTCAATCAGTTGAGGTCCCTTGCAATTCAATGTAGAAGAGTTTCGAACATCTTCACTCAATGATTAGTGAGGGTAATTGGGTTTGCATGTACTCGATTAAAAGGGGGTAACTTTGGTCAGATTTACTTACATATAGCTATATTAGAGACTAATTAGAATATTAATGTTATTTAGGAGATTATTGAAAAAAAATTGGCTACCATTGAGAATCCGCAATTGTATATAGCTACCATTGAAAATTTCCCTATTTTTTTTAAAGCTACAAGGGCGGGGTGTGAATCGATCTGAGGATTTCTTAAAATCGGGAAGGAAACTCTAGCCACTTGAGTTATCCCTCACTCTCTAATTCTGATATACATAGTGTATGCTTCACTCCAGATTTCGGTACTTCATCAGTAACTAATAGTAAAGTTTACTACTCCCTCTGTCTCTTTATTAGATTCTCATTTCTCTTTATTATGAGAGTTATAAATGTTACGGAGTAGAATAGGGACTCTAATAAAGAGACGGAAGGAGTACTTTATATTTGTGTTTACTCGAGTCATCTGTTAGAGAATCTGAGTTTGTAATTAGCTTTGTAAGTTTTTGAGTGTCATTAGAGTTGACTTGATGTAGATGTAAGGAAAAAGTAACTGAGTTAGTCGAGAATCGATGTGTCTTTAATTGTTTGATTTGTTGTTTCAAAGACAATTAACAATAGACTTAGGCATGTTATCTTCCGCTTATTTTCAGTTCTCAGTTTTTAGCTCCAATAAGTTCAATCCAGTTCCTAATTTCCTATTCTCATAAAATATTTAGTTCAATTCAGCTCTAATAGTTCAGCTCAACTCGGTTCTAGAAAATCAAAATAGGCCCTTAAGCAGTCTGGAGCTGATTTTGAACCAAATTAAATGAGTCGTCACTTGAATATATGACTACCAAATTAGATTATTGTTTGGCACAGAAGATGTCAAATTCCACTTTCTCCTTTGGAATGGTACAAAAGTTTAGAATTTGATTGTAGGATCTTGTCACATGATCATAAATTGTAGCTATTATTCTTATTTGAAGTGGTACTTAATAATTTGTCATTCTATTTTATACAGTAACAGAGTATATATTAAGCTACGTACTTACTTTTTCAAAAGAATCATAACACTATATATTACGTAATAACTTTGACCATGTAAATTTATGATGAAAATTGTTGAATTGATTTCATTATTTATTTATCATAATGAAAATTTTAAGGTACAACAGTCTGTATCTTGCTTGGTACAGACAAAAAAGTGGAAGAACATGTAGCTACTTTATAAAGAACATATAGTTGTTTTATAAGAAACATATAACTGTTTTGTAAAGAATATCCAATTTTATGTTTTATATATATATATATATATATATATATATATATATATATATATATATATATATAAAGAACATTTGTAATATTAATAAAGAACAAATATTATGTAATAAACATTGTTTGGGTCCAATTTAGTCCAATTGGGCCTAGTCATTAAATGATCCAATTAAAAGCCCAAGGTCAAGGTTCAACTCTCCAATTGTGCTAAAGTCAAGATCAGTCCACAAGGCAAGTCAATTGGGCCAAGGACCACATTCTCCATATATACAAAGGTATAAAAACCATCAATATTACATTTGTACATTCATAAAAACAAAGCCTCAAGCAATTAATTCTCTTGCATAGCTTTCTCTCTCTACACACTGTACTGACTTTAGCATCGGAGGGGCCTCCCTCGGCAACACCCTCGAGGCTAGTTTACGTGCGTTTGCTGTGCAGGAAACCTTCGGCCCAACATCACTTGGACCGAATCCAGTCTTCACCACTTCATCGGACCTTCGGCAAGGTCCCATTGTTTTCACCCGAAACAATTTGGCGCCGTCTGTCGGGAAGACTTTCAAAAATCTTTAAGCCAAATTTCTAATCAAAATCATCTTGCAATCATCTTAGTAGCAATGGCTAAGAACCGCAAGAGCAAAAGCCTCCGTCAAGGAGCAGGCGAAAAGCCTAAAACTCCTACACCATCACCCTCACCGGACCGGAACTCTCCCAAGGGTGCCAGCTCGGGGGGAGGATCATACAGGTTGGATTCCCTTTCTCCCATAATTCACAACTCTCATCATAGGCCGAGTCCCTCTCGGTCTAGCAGAGGTCAGTCCGATCATAGGACTCATTCAGTGCCCCAAAGCCAACCATCGACCATCCGCTCTCATTCCCACACTCAGCCGAGGACCCCTTTGACGGGGCTCAGCTCGGAGGAGGTGGCGAGAGCGCTGGCAGTGCTCATGGAGGCAATGAGGACACAAAATATGCCTCCACCTCGCGATCGAACTCCTCCGCATACCCAGCATCAGCGGAGGAAGCTAGACCATGATGGTGGGAAACCTCCTTCCTTCCGGGAACTGGAAAAGTGGGAAGAGGATACCTGGAGAACTGAAAGAGAGAGGAAAAAGAACCCTCAATTTTTCAGAGGATCCTCAACCTCCCGACCAGAAACGCATAGGAGCAGCAGCTCAGCTTCTCGGCCAGAATCTGCTCGCCGAGAACAACCTGAGACTGTTCGCCGAAGCGTCCTCGACCGACTCGGCGGGAAGGAACCGAGCGTGCACAGTCGCCTCTCGTTCCCTGCAGCCGAGGCCCAGACTTCCCAGCCAGGGACGAAAACCACTCCTACCTATCTAAGAGGGCGGAGCGCGGTCCCTTCGGTCAGGAACAAGGGCAAGGCCGTTATGCTACCCACCAGTTCCCCATCCGAGCAATGGATACTGGAAGAGCACGTGCCCACGGTTAAAATACCGTCGCACATCACATATGATGGGACTTCGGATCCGAAGGACCACATTGCCTCGTATGAGGCTCATATGCATCTTTGCCCCAGATCCGAAGCGACTTGGTGCAAATATTTTCCAACCACTCTCAAGGGGGTCGCGCAAGCATGGATCTCCAAGGGAGTGAAGCAAGGCTCTATAACAGGGTGGGATGATCTGTCCTCCAAATTTAGGAGCAAGTTTTCCACGGCAAACCGCCGAGAGAAGACTACTGCAGAACTCATGGGTCTGCAACAGGGGGAGACCGAAAGCCTCCGAGACTATCTGACCCGTTTCAGCAACGAGTCATCCAGCGTCTCTCAGCTGGACCAGGGGCTAGCCGTTTTTGCAATGCAGAATGGCCTTCAGCCTGGGAAGTTCCTAGACTTCATGGTCATGCATACCCCGCAGACCTTGGTGGAAGCTCTGAACGCCTCGGCTAAATTCATCCGAGCCGAAGAGTGGAACAAAGCAAAAACCCAACCTCAATCTGGGGGAGGGAAGCAAAAACAAACACCCTTGTCTGAAGGCCAAGGCCAGAGGACAAAGGGAAAGGCCAAGGCCTCGGAACAATCTTCGGCCAACGAGCCGAAGAAGGAAAAATCTGCCTCATACACAGGCAGATACGAGTCCTACACTCCGCTCTCTCTTCCACGCGCCAAAATTTACAGCGTGACGAAGGAGGAGCAGAGTTACCGAAAGCCGAGACCACTCCCAGAGTGGTATCAGCGAAAAAATAAAAATCAGTGGTGCGAGTTCCACGAATCTCCGGGACATAACACTGAGGAGTGTATCCAACTGAAGGACCAGATAGAGGATATGGTTCGGAAGGGATACTTGAAAAAATACATCGCGGATCACCGCGAGAAAAAGGAGGCCGAGAAGTCAGCAAAGGACCCTCGGCAAGACCTCGACTTCCCCCGGAAGAACATTAAAAATGCGGAGGGAAAATTCTCTCCGATCAATGTTATCTCGGGAGGAATATGCTCTCGGAGGGAACACAAGCGACACCTTAGGGCTCTGATCCACCAGGTGAACAACGCTGACATTCAGCCTCCCCAGTCGCCGATGCCGAACATGACGTTCACAGCCGCCGACTGCCGGGGGGTAACGTTCCCTCACGAGGATCCGTTGGTGATCGTCGCCACGGTGGCCAACCACGACGTCAGCAAGGTCCTTGTTGACGGTGGCAGCGG